TCACAGGCCACACCTGCACCCACCCCACCCACCTGCTCACAGGCCCCCAGTGGTGCCCACCTGCTGACCATCCCTGGAACACAGGCGGCCAGCCCCACGGCTCCAGCATGCCCCTCGCCCCCTGCACCCACCCACGGCGTGTCTGCTGAGGTCACCTCTCCAGTCCCCTCCCCACCCACCCGTTCCTCCTCCACCAAACTGCACTCTGCAGCAGGCAAGCCCACCCTCCCTTCCACCTTAACAACAACAGAAAACAAACTCTGACCCCCACACCGTCCAATTCCTGCCACCTGCCCCCATCTTGTCCCTGGGAGCATGTCCAGGCTGCCATCTCCCCAGATCACATTCCATCATGGCCCCCGAAGACCTGGCGTCGAGGTCACCCGGCTTCCCCACAGCACGGGGTGAGACCACGCCTGACCCTGCCTCCTCGAGCCCCCCCCCTCCACTGGCCCCCCTCCTCTCCTCGCCCGAGGTGCAGCGCCCAGCTCTCTGGCACTCTCCCGACCCAAACTCCTGGGGCCTCACCTGACTCACGTGACACGGGGAGACCGTGACAGCTCTCCCTCCAACTGGCACCTCTGCCTGGACCCTGGACCCCTCTCCAAACCCCAGAAAGGTCCCAGACAGACTTCTGCTCCTTTCCTCAAACAGCAACCCCATCTCTCAGCCGTTCAGACTAAAATCTGGGTCCCCTGCCCCCACCACTCCCACTCTGTCAGCAAACCCTGCCAGCCCCCCTCCAGCGGGTCCAGAGCCGGCACTTGGCTGGCCTCACCGCCTCCACCCCCCACGCAGCTCGAGGTCCACCCGTCCATCCCCCGAGGCCTCACCCTCACTCTAGGGCCGCCCCCGAGAGCCTGCGGGAGACGCAGAGCCTGGGCCCACCCAGACCGGGGTGTGTGCGCACGTGCACGTTCACTACGGTGTGAGGAGCACTGCCTGTCCTCACACCCAGGCCGGGGGTGTGTGCGCGTGTGCACGTGCACGTTCACTGCGGTGTGAGGAGCGCTGCCTGTCCTCACACCCAGACCGGGGGTGCGTGTGCATGTTCACTGCGGTGTGAGGAGCGCTGCCTGTCCTCACACCCAGACCGGGGTGTGTGCACGTGCACGTTCACTGTGCTGTGAGGAGCGCTGCCTGTCCTCACACCCAGACCGGGGTGTGTGCACGTGCACGTTCACTGCGGTGTGAGGAGCGCTGCCTGTCCTCACACCCAGGCACGGTCCTGCCCCAAGGCCTGGCACACGCCATCCCAAACAGCCAAGGGCTCTGCCCCAAGGCCAGGCTTGGGTCAGGCCTGCACCGCCCTGTCTGGCTGCAGTGCCCCGGCCGCCTCACGCGACTGCCGTTCCCTCCCGAGGGCCATCTGCGGGGCCAGCTCCACAGGCAGACACGCCCGCCCAGGAGGCAGCGCTCGACACGGCACTCACACTCACACCCACTAGGAAGGCCCTGTCCCCCCTCGGGAAGAGACCTGAATGGCGAGGACAGAGCCCTGTGAGCGCAGTGGGGGGCGTGAGGGGCCTGCCAAGAACACTGACCTCTCAGCACACACACCGGCCCAGCTCCTCCCCCACCGCCCACCCCATCGCCCACGGAGAGACCAGAGCAGCCCAGGGCCCTGAGAACCCCCAGTGAGAGCTGGCCACACCGCCGTCCTCAGAGGCCAGGGCTCGGGCGGCTCCAGCGCCGTGCAGCCGCGCAGGGAGGGGACAGCCCACGGCCAGACGCAGACGGTAATCCCTGAGCCTCCACACACTCCACACCAGAGGGCACTCGGGAGAGCCTGGGCTGAGGGGAGCTGAGAGGGTCCTCCAGGCGGGAAGGGGCAAGGCGGGTGCCAGACGTGGGCCCGTGCCAGCAGCTTGCACCCTGCATTCCAGTGTCGAGGGCGACCGAGCCACAGTGGGAGGGAGACTGTGGGGGCAGCTTCGACTCCCTTTGCAACTCGGTCAACAGTCCGTGGGCCATGGACTCGCAGACTCCTGCGGCCCCACCCAGGCCTGTCCCCACGCCTCTCCCTCCAGACACAAGTCATCCGGCAGAGGGGCTCCTCCCACTTTATTCTTTTTAAAATTGTGAGCTATCTACCCTCGAGGTCCTTTGCCTTCCGTATAAGTTTCAGAGTAAAAACTTGAGAAAAAGCTTGTGTGTCTGGGTTTGACGGGAGGGGTGAGGTCTGCAGACCAGCCCGGAGATTCTGTGGCAGCGCCAGCAACGGGCACACAGGTGTCAACCGCAGGGCTGGCTGTGCCGAGAGAGAGAGGACAGTGGGGCCCGAGACAGGGACGGCGTAGACATGGGAGAGGAGCACGGGAGACGGGGAGCACGGTCAGACGCCCAGGAGCCAGAGGAGGAGCAAGGGAAGGACAGTCACCCCCTCAGGGGCCACAAAGGCCCGACTCAGAGCCCAGACAGCTGTCCCTCCCGGACGGACGGACGGACGGACTGAGGCAGCAACTCGCTGGTCCCATGGTGACCCTACTGAGAGCAGTCAGCAGAGGGCAGCCCTGTGCTGAGCTGAGCTGAGCTGAGGGGATTGGCAGCTCATTCTAGCCAAGCTCATTAAAAACACACACGGGTTTAATCAGCATCTTCACGCGGCCTGGCGCTGCTCCGAAGCCCATCTTCCCAGAGTTCTAGGAACCCCACCTGGCAGGCCATCAGGGAGCCCGCACCGCTGCTGGGCACTGGGATGTCCCCCACGTAACCCCAGGAACACGCCCACCCCACAGGTCTGCTTCTGGACACGTTTCCTGGGCAAACCCTCCCAGAAGGGGACCCTGGGCCGTAGAGAGCCTCCCTCCCGCTCAGCTGCCCACGCCTGACGCCAGCTGCTCAGACCTTCTCGACAGCACTCTTCTCGAGTGGAATCTGATACAAACCCCACACGGTGCTCCAGCCAGGACCTAACGGTGAGAAAGCGAAAGCTCTGCCCACCTGGGCACAGCTGTGCCCTAGACCCAGGCTGATGTTCCCACACACGGCCGACAGCTGCAAGGTCTGCGCTGTAAGTGACACCGGCACCCTGATGGCATCAGCAGGAGCCAGGAGAGAGGCAGGCCCTGCTGACCAGGCAGGTCCCAGAGCCTCCCTACGCCTCAGTGCCCTGTCCACACAAGGGGCCACCCCTGAGCCCCAGGACTGGCCAGAAAGAGCGGCCAATACACCTGTCTTCCCCTCGACAACACCTCCTTCAGAAACAGCAAGAGAACCAGGCAAGCTGTTCACCTGGCCCTGACCCCGCTGACCCCTGGGCACCACCCACCACGGACAGACAGACGGCCCCGGGGACATGGTCCCTGAGACACGCACAAAACCACTCTGAGCAAACGCCCCAGGACTCGGAGAAACACGAGCATGATCCCAACGAGTCCCACGTGGAAAGAGGGCCGTTTACAAGGAAAGGGCACAGGCAGCAAGAGCTGCGCAAACCGCACTCCCCTTCTCTAGCTCCAGCAGCGGCTCGACTTACCTTCGTAAGGAGTCATCTCAGGGCCTCGGACCACATAGTGCCTGAGGGAGAGAGAAAATTAGCTGGCTTTGGGGTGCCCAACTCCACCCCATCTGAGTCACTCCAAGGCCAGGGTTTGCAGGGCCACCAAGCCAGACACCCACAGGCAATCCATCAGTGACACTGAAGGTCAGGGGCCGACCAGGGAGGCCCTGCGAGGCCCCAGGCTCTGGGGCAGCCGGCCCTCAGTCACCCGTCTTCTAGGTTTCCACAAAGCACTTTGCCTCCACAATACAACGTGAGATCAATCCTCTGACCATTAACGTCAACTGACACTTTTAAAAACGTAATTTCCAGCCTCCGTGAGCACCATTGAAGGTCCGTGTTCCTCGGGTGCCGAAATCCCCGCAGAAGGCGAGATGGGACAGCCGCTCAGGAGCCGGCTCTGCTCAGAGCCCACGTCCCCCGAGAACCAGACTCCATCGCAGAGGAGCTGCCTCGAGCAGAAGCCACGGGACAGCCCTGCCGTCACCACCGCCTGCACCTGGAGCCCGGGCTGCGCACACGTCCACTCCCCACACCCATGGGGAGGCTTCAGCTCACACCAGAGGGGTTTGGACTGAAGACGCTCAGACAGCAGAGAAGCACGAAGGAGAAAGTGGAGGTAAGATAAGCAGAAACGCCAGAGCAGACAGACCTGCCTCCAGCCACCTCCTCCCACCTCCACACACAGCCTGTCACCTCCACCATCAGACACCTGCTATCTCCTGGCTGATATGATACCACACACACACACACACTCACACTCACACACACACACTCACACTTACACACACACACACACACACACACACACTCACACTGTGATCCCATGTCAGCAGACCAGGAAAAGCCCTCAAAGCTAAACACATGACACATCCAGGAGTGTGGCCTTAATTTGTCACTGCTCCAGTTCCTGGCCAAGCTGAGCACAGGGAGAGAGAGAAGCAAGTGCAGGGAGAGCCCACAGCACTAGGTTCTGGGAGAGCCCACAGCACTGGGTGCAGGGAGGGCCAGGGCAGCACCAGCTCAGAGGACGGACAGGCCTCATCCAGGAAGTGCTGCTGTTGTCTGCTGAGGGGCCACCACTGCGGTCTTCCCACGCCTGGGGCGGGATAAGCTGAGAGAGGCCTGCAGCCTGGGACTCTGGGGGTGCCAGGCAGAGGTGCCCATGAGACCCCCCAGCTGGAAACACTGGGCACGGGGTCTCTAACGGGCTCCCGGGTGGAGAGTGTCCATGAGTCCACGGGGACAGGAAGCTGTGCCTGGTCTCCTATGGACTCTGCCCTGTGCTTTTTCACTGTAATAAACCGTAACAGTGGGTCCTCTTAGCAAATGATTGAATCTGGGGACCCTGACTCAATGGGGGGAGGGGTCCCTGCATCTGCTGTGTCCTGGGGGCCACACTTGTTTTTGCCATTATTTGGGGGCAGGGAGAGCCCTGCTGGGACACTGCCACCCCACTCACGCTGAGGCCATCACCCTGAGAACCCTCCACCCCACCTGCCGGCGCCCCCTCATCTGTAAGCCAAGGAAGGTGGGCCCAGATCCCCGGACACCTGTCCCATCTGGAAAATACTTTTTTTTCTTTAATCCTCACCCAAGGATATTTTTCCCACTGATTTTCAGAGAGAGTGAAAGGGAGGGAGGAGGGAAGAGAAAAAGAGAGAAACATGGATGCAAGAGAGACATACCGACTGGTTGCCTCCTGCATGGGCCAGGGATTGAACCTGCAACCAAGGTAAAGCCCTTGACCAGGAACCGAACCCACAACCCTTCAGTCCACAGGCAACAGTCTAACCACTGAGCCAAAGTGCCCAGTTGGGCCTTGGCCGGTGTGTCTCAGTGATAGAGTGTCGGCTTGTGGACTGAAGGGTCCCGGGTTCGACTCCGGTCATGGGCACATGCCCGGGTTGCGGGCTCGATCCCCAGTGGGGGGTGTGCAAGAGGCAGCCGATCAATGATTCTCTCATCATTGATGTTTCTATCTCTTTCTCCCGCTCCCTTTCTCTCTGAAATCAATAACTTTACAAACCGCCCCGTTGGAAAATACTTGTTTTTAACTTAGTTAAATCTCTTTCCTCTGGATTTTTTTAAAAAAAATTTAGTTCCTTTTTAAGATTAAAATGTAAAATACTCTTCAAACAAAGAGAAAACGCTTCTTAGTATTTAGCCCTACACCTCATTTCTCAAAATCCCCAGCCACCCTGCGAAGGGCAGCCTTTCGTGGCGGCGTGCAGCCTCCTGACCCACTTTCACACGAGGAAGGATTCCGAGGAAGGCGTGTGCAGAGGCAACAGCCCACGGCACCTGCAGGCCAGTGCAGGGCCCGCCCCTCTGTCCCGCTCCCCCGGGCAGAGCAGGCTCCTCCACAGCCAGGAGCACAGGGCAGAGGAGACATGAGAGAGGAACTCCCCCAGCAGCTGTGGGTTACGCCAGAGCCGCCGTGGGCTCCCAGACCAGTCCTCTCCCGCGTCAGGGGTCCAGGACAACCGCTGTGTCCCAGCTGCCGCCACGAGGAGTGTCTGCAGGCCTCCCGACGGGCGCAGGAGCCCCTTTCCGAGCTCTAGATGGAGTCCCAAGCCCCCCACCCACGGGGGGAACCTGGTGCGTCAGGGAGGGTGACTGACCACGCAGGGCCTTACCATTCAAGAATATTGGAAGGGAGGGGCTCGGCACAGATGTAAGGCACTGGGTCTTTCTTGATCCGAAGGTAGTCCTGTTTCAGTCGCTGGGTGGCTGTGGTTGGAGCTCTCTTATTGCTGTTGCTGCTCATCTGTGGAAAGTAAACACGTGTCTTCACCTGGGACAAGGACACAGCCCACGGTGCCCCTGCCCAGAGCCCAGCAGCCACCACTCGTGCACATCTCACACGGCCCCAGCTGTCCCGACTCACCCACCCCAACACCGTGGGCCACACAGTCCCCGTTCCACCTGCCCTGCCACAACGTTCACTCAGCAACCTCAGATGCTCTAATTCCAAGCAGCCATGGGTGGGTGTCTGAAGCCGGACCGGACCCAGGTCACTGCACACATCACTCAGCTCTGTGCTCCATGACAACACAGCACTCAGGGCGCACCCACCAGCCCCTGCAAAACCCCCCTTAGCACTCCCAGCACGGGCAACAGAGGAGCAACGAGCCTCTCTGGTTCTGGAGAGACGGGACCCGTGAAAGACTCAGATGCATGTGCTGGGCAGAGCAGAGGCCCGAGGAAGCACTGTGCCCAGGATGGCGCCGGGTCACGGCGTCAGGAGCAGAGATGGTGGCGAACAAGGCTGCCAGGGAGGTCAGGCCAGGCCGCCAAGCACGCTCCAGAGGGTCTCAGGCCCAAGCGTTAAGGTGCGTCAGGATGGACGGGGCAGCGTGGGACAGACAGGACGGCGTGGGACAGGCGGGACGTGCAGGGCAGCACCAAAGGCTGGGGACCAGGAGGGAAGCAGTCACTCAAGAGAAGAGATGGCCTGGGGCAGGGAGCCCTGGGACACCACAGCTGTGCCCCAGAGATGGGGAGACAGGGCGCCCCACGCTCACAGGCACCAGAACAGCTCCAACCCAACTGCTTCATCTACTAGAGTTTCTCATAACGTCAGTGGAAAGGCAGAAAGTCATGCTGCTAAAAATGAAGTGTGAAAGCCGCTGGTCCAGAGTGTGACCGACAGCAGGGACACAGGGTGTGCGGGGCAGGAAGGAGGGAGCACCGGCCTCGGGGTGGCAGAGTGGATGTGGGCAGCGGAGGAGGAGCCTGCCCTCCCGCTCACCCCACTCCACCGCCTCTGCCACCCGGTGTTCCAACTCATCTGCCACAGCACCGGACAGCAGTGGCCGGGCTCTCTCCCCACCGGACCTCCCCGTCCCTACAAACCTGAGGTCACCCACCCCCACCACACCTGCCCTTCCAGCCTCCGCACATGTGTTCCCTAGGGTCAGCCATGGGCTTGCTCCTTCCCTCCCTCCTGCCTCCGCTTCCGCATCACCTCATCAGAGCTCGAACCCTCCCCAGAGCACCAGCCCCACAGACCAAAACCAGCTTGGTGTGCTGCCCCGCACCCAGGGCCTCCAGCAGGGCGCCCCCAGGGGTCCTCTGCACGCACCATCACCCACCCCTGCTGCTGCCTGAGGTCCCTCTCCCTCAGAACCCTGCTTCCCTCCCTTCCCCTTTCCCCCCCAACTCACCCTGGCCTCCAGTCCTTCCTGGACACTAAGGCAGGCGAACTTGGTCACCGCAGTTCTGACCACAGCCCTTGAGGACCCCCCACAGCCAAGCGGATAAGCGCCAGGCCACCCCTCCCCTGCCCGCCAGCCCCTCTAAAAGCAGCACCCGCCAGCCTCCCCAGCCCCCAACTCCCAAGGCCGCGGAACCGCCTCGGGTCCCAAACCCCTTCTGATGAGCACACGGCTGCCGGGGAGCCCGTCTCCTGGCAGAAAACTCACCTCGGCTCTGCCCGGTGCAGCTCGAAGGGCCCAGTCCCTCAAAAGCCTCCCTTGTTTTCCTAGTCCAACGCTTCCACTCTCTCTCCTTCACTGACCTCCCCCCGGCCCAGTTCACACGAACAAAGTGGCCCGCCAGGCCCCAGCA